CTACGAGTATATATCCCGCTATGGCTATGTTTCCGAGTACCTGATGGAGCGCAATGAGAAAAGATGTCAGTGATACTGCTTCACCGTCACGATTCTACAACCGGTCATCAGTCTTCCTTCAGTTAAAGGCTTCAACTCTTTGATGAACCACTTCTATCCTACGAAAGAAGCTCAGCAGATTGGCGCTTCTTGTATTACCACCTCGCCTGCTGTGGTAAAACGGGAAATGCACACCGAATGGATAAATGATGTCATTTGGCTCGGTAGATACGATCGAAAGTTCTTCACACTATGGGCAGTATAATTCTTTTCCTTCTCGCCCTTCAGCCGTTAGTTCACCTGGCCGAGAGGTTAAATGATACTCGTCACTATTATTCTTGCTCTAAGATTAGCTCTTCAGAACGATCTTCCCATGGTACACTATAACCTTCGTAGAGAGCGGAAAGCTGACTAAAAATGACATATTCATTGGCTTCCTTGGTCCTTTGGGACATATTGGCTACTTTGGAATTGGTCTCCTTTTGTCAATGCCTACGGTACGACCCCTACACCTCACTCCAGCTGCAGCACCATTACTAGGTCTTACGTCGTTCCGAATGGAAGATGCAACTCAGGAAGGGGTTTTTACCAATCTTTGCTGGCATGCCGGTCATCTTCGTGGCGTGGATCGTCGGCAATGCTTATGCGTGAGTACAGAAAATCCGTTGGAAGTCTGTGAGGCAGCTGCTTGCTCGGATTTCAGGCATTTCGTTCTCCTGTATCTCACTACTGACGGTGAGTCCTCAACAGTTTTTTGTCTACCATGTTGAGGGAAATACTCTTTCAGAGTTCGTCTTTGGTGAACTACCCAAGTACCAGACTATAGTCCGCGATATGGTAGCCTACATGCTCATCGAAGAAGTGGGGCTCTACTATCTGCACCGTCTGTTCCATGAATGGAAGGCTGGCTATAGGGTGGTACATAAGCTCCATCATACGTAATGAACAGCCTTCAGTCATTGTTATGATCAAGACTAATCAGGTTCACATCCCCTGTCCCTC